CATTAACAAAATAATTCCAAATATAAACCCTAATAAATAGTGCAATAAAAAGTATAAAATAAAATAAATAAATCATACCAGATTCACAATCATGTCTAATTTCTGTCAACAATCATAAAGATAACAGTTGTAATCAATAAAATCAGGTTATATTACAAAATCATCTGACTATTACACTATAAATCCAAACCTATATTGAGCTCAACGGACAAATACAATCCCTCATGTACCTCAGCTCACCTGCCACAGCCTTCAGCAACCCTCTCAAGCATTTATGCCGGGACTAAAAGCAACACTTCAATGAGTTATTTAACTGATAAACACATTTTTACTTTCCACTCACACTTGTAGAATTTTGGAAATTTGTCTTTCAAGAATAGAAACATGTAAACTGATTTACTGAAGGTGACGGTTATGAAGGTGAGAGGTGAAGATGGGGAAGAGGGTCCACCTACTCCTGTGCTCTGGGCTTCATAGCTCGCCATGTTGTTCATGGTTGTCTCAGCTCAGGGCCACCAGGTGCAAGTTCACACAACATGTATTATGCTGGTGTTGTCAAAAGACAAACGGAGAGCAAAGCTTCTTAATCAATGTCTGCATAAAAGTGCATATATTTGGATATGCTTATAAGATATATCTGCTCTGGTAAAACCACCAGTGACCTGGTAATATCACATGTCATGATAGTAATGTCTATATAGATCAGAGACACATACATGCAGGAAAGAACATAAATATACATAAACAGGTAACAAAAATATGAACACAAAGCTAGTTACCGGTACTTCTTTCTCACATTATCAAAATGTATTATCTGAGAAATGTTAAACATCTGCACAGCAGTCATTAAGTACTACATGTCAGTTAATAACGACAAAGAACTATGTTCCAACATTTCAAGAGGCTGGTTTTGTGGTTCAATTGCCAGCTGCTTGCATTCACTGTTTGTACACCTTAAACACAGTGAGTGAGCAAGTTGGGTTTTACACCACTTTTAGCAATATTCCAGCAATATCATCGAACTCCAGAAATGGGCTTCACCCTTCAAAATGACAAGGCATTGAATCTATATCAACACTTCCAACCAGTATACACTTAAAACAACTGTATTTGGTCATGCAGAGGCTGAAGAATGAGGACTATTTTTATTGATATACAACTTCTTTATTCTATATAGGCAACGTTTCGACATAGATTCTAATGTCGTTGTCAAGCATTAGAATCTATGTCTAAACGTCACCTATATAGAATAAAGAAGTTGTATATCAATAAAAATAGTCCTCATTCTTCATCTACCCAACTTCTAGAATGCCAATCAAAGAAGTCATGCAGAGGCTGTCCTACTATTGGGCAGCCAGCCCAAGGTGTTCCCCCATTACCTTCTGAACACTAGAATCATCACTGAGTTTGGCAGAAGTAGAAAGTCATCCAGTGTTGTTCCAGGGCAACTCAGAAGAGGACAGATCAACAAGTAATAATCTGGGTCATGGAAAGTAAAGGTCTACACACTGGGGAACTACCAATTTAAAATCATGGCTCTAAACATTGGGTAAGTCTAAGGAATGTCTCATCAGAGACAAAGGTCTTGAGTCAAAGTGTAAATGTTAAGAGGTAGCGAACATATAATGCATTGGGATTTTCTGTGCTATGGTACAAGCATACACAAGGCGTCATATGAAATAGATTGGATATAAGTTTGAAATACCACAAGAGAATTCAAGGCAGTGTATTAGTAATTAATACAAATTTACTAAATAGATTTCAGTAAAGCTACAGTTCTCCTTCTAGCCTCACAAGAGAGGTTACATGTTGTACCAGCAATGGTTTCATACTGCTTTTAGCAATATTCCAGCAATACCACGGCGGATGACACCAGAAATGGGCTTCACACATTTTACTTGTGTGGGGGAATCAAACAACAAATGCTTTAACCACTAGGCTACCCCACTGCCCCCTCTCACTTTGAAATACACTTAAGAAGGTGTACCTTGTAAAATTGTACATTGTATTCTTTGTGCATTTTATACAATTGAAACTACTTATCAAGAGATACTTGTTCAAAAACCTAACTTAATGGCTCGACAATACTGTTCCCATTTTGACCTGAACCATTCCTCAATACAATGGTCCTATGTTTTCTAGATCCTATGATTTCTGTGATACACGTCTGTACATCTGTTAGTGGAATGTCAAGAAATCCACATCATCTTCATCTACAGAAGCAAGTGTGCTGGCACCTGCTGCTGCTGCTGGAGCAGTCTGAAGTATACACTGTTTCCACTAATGCTGGGAATTGGTGGAAATCTCACAATTGATGACTGGTTTATTACCAACGAGCAATCATCAAAAACAATTGGATAACATTATTTTAAAGATTATCCTCTTCAGGTTGTTATTGCAGAGAAGTATAATGTGGTTCTCTGTTGTTGTTTTTGTCTTACTGAGATATTGCATTTGCAAATTTCACATCCAACGTAAAATGATGCAACTTGCTACCTTAAAGTGATGACTATATATCATGAACATAAACTTCCCAGAGTCATCATGAAATATTCAGTCATGACTTTTCAGTAAATGAAGTGAGTTTTCTAAGAATTAAACACGTTTTCTACCAATGTTCCACCATCAAGTGTTTTAAACACTAAAACAATAGGTCCAAAATTGTTTGTGTTTGATTATGAGAAAATGAGATCGATTGCTTGGTCGTTTGGGCACTGCGACCGATCTTCAAATATTTCAATTAATCGGACCACCACTAGTTTCCATCTACCTTCCATAGACAATCCTGATAGTAGATAGCATGCACATGCAGCCTGAACATACCACATAGCTGCGAATAAACAAGCTCCTTAGCAACTGTGCAGTAGACTTTCCACAGCCAAGCACCACCCCAAACCCCCTTTAGCCATTAACTCCTACAGTGACAGGCCAACATGGGCATGACAAGCACAATCTGTGGTTGCATTACAAACATGATGTCACTGTACGTCCCTATCACTAGATATAGACCGCACACTCTTACTTGCTTGTGCCCACTTTTTGAGAAGTGGAATGTCTGGCCAAAAAAGCACTTTATGAAATATAGTATATAATGTAGAAAAGTCACAAAATGATTTACAGTGAAACCCATATCTGACAACATTTGGAATTAAAACAGTGAAATTGTAGACAAAGTAATGCTGCTTGAGTGGGCAGAGTAGTTGACACCAGAGAGATATTGCATCAAGCCGGTCACAAAATGTGGTTATAACAAATGTCACAAATATATACTTTATCTACTTAAATTCAAAACATCTAAGATCAACTAACTAAAAAATTACATACAAGATAAGGCATTTGGTTTCTACTTATTACTTGGATCTCTAGTTAGGGATCAGTCAACCTAAATGTTCACAGCATATTTTCATGAACATATATCTCATTAAGAAAATAAGAACACTATTAACTGCAACACTGTATCATACAGCTATTCACACAGTTTTCAGTCTTCCAACATTGTAGCACTAAGTATCATACAGATGTTTGTACAGTGTTCAGTTTTCCAACCCTGTAGCACTACGTATCATACAGATGCTTGTACATTGTTCAGTTTTCCAACCCTGTAGCACTACGTATCATACAGATGTTTGTACAGTGTTCAGTTTTCCAACCCTGTAGCACTACGTATCATACAGATGTTTGTACAGTGTTCAGTTTTCAAACCCTGTAGCACTACGTATCATACAGATGTTTGTACAGTGTTCAGTTTTCCAACCCTGTAGTTTTCAAACTCTATTGCACAACTGTATTATACAGACACACAAGACCGATGTCTGTGAATTTATCAAGCACATATTCTGCCAACCGAAATGCCAGAGTAAGTAACCTACTACTTGAAGTACTTGAGGCGAAGCATCACAGAAACACAGATAAATCATACACACAATCCTGGGCATTTACAGGACATATATAGACTTCTCAGGGAGAAGTGTCGTTGAAGTGAACAAGCCCATGCAATATAACTGTTAAGCACCAGCTTATGAGTATTCCAAAGCCATGATGTCATATAACAACTAACAACTAGTAACTGGCAATGAATATGAAACATCTAAGAAAAAAAGGGAAAACAATGTTGTTGTTTTTCCAGAACTAATATAATTTCTTTGGTCCACCTTACAGGACACATACAGATCTGCATATGCCCCTCCACATCACATACTGGCCTGCTAGGGAACAAGCAAAATACAATGCTGCAGAAACTAATTCACCAAAATTTGACTGTAAAAAGCTCAATGTATATCACCCGTGTGAACAGGTGTACTGAAACTAGAAACACTACCATAGGTTCATACACTTACTTCACACCAGTATACATATGTCATAACTCATCACATGTATTTTCATTTACATACTGAATGCCAGTGTTTTGGGTGGCATAACTCAGTAGTGGCCAGAGAAGCTGAATTTATTCTCCAACCATCAAACTAATAATCAGTAGACGTATATATATTCCCAAACCAAGACATACTTGTAAACACCATAAAAGGACATAATAATAATTAAAGAAGATAGGATGACCTTCCCCTGACTGCTGCTTTGCAATGACTTGTGCTCACCTAGAGATAGCAGAATGAAGCAAATATACTTCCCATCAAAAGTTTTCACTCACTGAAAACACTCACTTTATGTTATGTAATATATATATATATATATATATATATATATATATGGTAACATCGAAGACTGATTTCTCAACTAACTTGGGGGGACCAACTGCACACCTTATGCAGATGAATTGCATGAGGATCATGCATCAAATTGCTGAAAAGCATGTGCAAATATCATGCATGTGAACAGCTGCGTTTGGGTGTAAAGTTTTGTTAAGAATTTGCCAATTTTCAATGAGTTTTATCATTTCTTGAACTCATGACAATAATCTTTTCAACTGTATGAATTTGTTTTACAATACATCAGTCCATGTGTAAACAATACCTTTAAACAGTATGGAATATTTGGCAAAATTTAGTTTAGAACAGTTGCCTGAAGTAAGTGGCTATATTTACACTAGTGAGTCGAAACTTTTGATGGGTAGTATACATGTGTACTCTTTCCTGGTATATTTTCACTATCTTCTCGAAATATTTTTAAAAGCATGACAACAATATATGACTGAAGTGACTGTCATATTTCAGTTTACTATTAACACAATTTTAATCAGAATATAGTAGTAAATTTACTAATATTTTGCCTTTATTTCAGATTGTTCCCTCTTTCAAACTCTCCTAAACTCCTGATAAAAACCTGCCTTAAACATGTTTAAGAAAATCAAACTCATATTCCCTTGGCGTTATTTTCTCATAACAATTTTGTTCTGGTATAGAGTTATAGTCTTTGTTAAAATACAAACATGGTTCCTATCTCCTGCCACTGCAGGCAGGTAACTTCAAGAGGAGCAACTTCAGAGAATCATACAAGACTATTGTAACACAGTGAGACCCCGGATATCCGGACACATTCGTTTCTGTGTAAATCGTCCGGATAACTGAATATCCGGATATCTGGATTTCTGTCTTCCAGGCTTAGGTGTTGAATATACACTTAAAATCACTTCCAAAACAGCATGGTCGTTCTGATTTACCAATTACATTTCACTCTGTGCCAGATAGGCCTACTAATCACTACCAATATCCTGCTGATCAGTCATTAATCCGGATTAGCAGACCTTGTCTTGTGTCAACACAGGTGGGACACTTCACATGGTCAGCGGAAGATCAAAGCTTCATGTGGATAAGTGAGTGAATTTTGTGTTGATTTAGCCGGTTGCTTTGTAAAATTTACCATCTGGGAACGGAACCGCATATCCGTTATAGACAGTCACTTTTATAACGTACAAGATTGGTTATTTATGAAAATTGACCGGAAGGTGAGGTTACCGGATATTTGGGGTCCGGGTATCTGGGGTTTCATTGTACAATTAAAATAGGGTTTCTTTTAGTTTGACATCGATAGATACTGTTGACAATTATGCCTATAGACACCATGCTTATTTAAGGCTGAGATCTGAGACTGATACAAACCTACTGGCACCTGTTCAAGGTAGTTGAATTGAGTTAGCTCCCCTTTTCACAGCCACAACCATCAGTGATCTCCCTTGCACCACAATAACCCAGTGATGTCAGTGAAATAATCCCCAAACACAATTTTTTGGGCCAAGAGCAAACAAGCACCATGTTCCACAAAGCAACCTTATGCCATCTCTGGTTTTACAACACAGAATCTTGTGACAACATAAATTCATGACCTGAAAGGACAATTTCTACATTTTCAGGAAAGCAAAAGCTTTTGAACATTATCCAATGCTACAAACTTTAAGTATTGTTCCCAGAAGAGAATCTATAGCACAGATGTCTTTAGTCTATGGAATGTTAAAAAATGCTGAAACAGTCAGGCCCAAAACAGTGTACCACTGATCCAGCAATGTGAAAAAACAATGGTTCTCATAGTGCATTCAACACATATAGGGAACATGCATCTGTGGTTATGTTGAGGAGGTGACGTATCCTGGACACTTAAAGTATTGGTCACATGAAATACTTAACATGGCAGCTTGTTCAGTCAATAATTGAACCTGAGTTTAGAAATGCTGTATACAGAAAATCAGCTTACAAGATTGATTCTTACTTAAGTTTTCCCGCTCGCTTTCATAAATATGATCATCCTCAGGAACAAACATATAAAGCTTGTCCGTATCTACAATACTGGCTACCAATGAAGCATTATTAAATGTAAATGTCTGATTACAACGGCCCTACAAAAGTGGACAGCAACCCTGTATAAATAGTCAAGGGAAATGACTAAAACACTCTGAATGATGTCACTGTAGTAGTAGTAGTAGTAGTAGTAGTAGTAGTAGTAGTAGTAGTAGTAGTAGTAGTAGTAGTAGTAGTCACATGATGAGGATGAACTGAAGTCTCTGCTGAGCAGGCTGGTGGACATGGCCGCCACTTCACCTAGCTGTCATGGTTTCGTATCAGACGGGGAGCTGTCACCCCATTCATCACTGGTTTGCTAGGAGTACTGTTGGAAAGTTCCTCTTCAGACTGGCTGCTGTATGGCATATCATCAATATCACTAGTGTCACTGCGGATATCCCGCTCGATCTGAAACATCAGGGAAGTGTTCAATCATTCGGCAAAACAATGGTACGGGCAGGCGGTGTGTGGAATATTGACAAGTTTGGGATCCATGATCAGAGATATGTCAAAAACAAAATGAAACAAGAAGACACAGTCAACATCCCCCACTACAGTGTTCTGTTCTTACTTGGTTTCTGTTTCCACCACGACATTCATGTCCTGAAAACACATACCAAATTTCGTTTCCCTATCTACGACGGTTTTGGAGAAAATCTGTCCCCATTGGGGGTGTCAAGTCAAGAAAAGCATGACAAGGGCCATAACTCTGTAACAAATTGCAACAGGGTTTCCTTTTTCAAAGTCCATTAAGGCATTCATGTCCTGAAAACACATACCAAATTTGGTTTCCCTATCAAGAACGTTTTTTGAGAAAATCTGTCCCCATCATCTCGGACGGATGGAAGGGAGGAAGGTTAGATGGACGGAGCTCAAACCAATAACCAATACTTCGTGGTGGGGGATAATATAGTCTAGGTCTTCTGATTTAGTTATAGTATCACACTACACTAAGTCAGTAAGTGCATTAACACAGGACTGGAAAGTATAAACATTAGCACCATGTATTAAGGTAAAATACCAAAAATAAACTGGCTCTCTACAATATTGACCAGTTGGGGAGCCACAATATGTCAAAAACAAAATGAAAGAAAATCAGTAAAAGCCTTGATATTTGTAATATCACAACACACTTGACTCAGTTAGTGCACAGTCCCAGTTGAAAAACACAGGAAATCATTGTTGTCATGGACAAATGTAGGGGTTGAAGCATCCGTTACAATATTGGAAATTTTAACTATATATTGTATATTTATACTCTCCCCCCAAAAAGAACCGTTACACATTAGAATTGATACAATTATTAATTTTTGCTATTAATCATGTTGACAAAAGGTGGATGTTGGCAGCAAAACAATTTTATAGTGCACAACTCTTTTGTCCCTCCCTCCGTGCTCCCCTATCACTGCCTGACATCGACGTCCCATGGAAGCAATGAGGTTGTGAACATTTATTGGGGAATGTTCCTCATTCCTCTTGGAGAGCCTGAAGGAGTTCCTGATGACTGGGGTTGTGGGCAAATATATTCAATGGGGGATAGGTCCGTAGATCTGGCAGGCCATGACAAGATGGTGATATTGTTAGCATGCAAGAAGTTCATAGAAACATGAGCAACATGACGTCTGGTGTTGTCTTGCTGGAACACGCCACCATGACGTCTTAGAAATGGCACGACGTGGGGCTGCAAGACGTTATCTCTGTATTGCACTGCATACAGGTTCCCAGGAATGTGCACCAACTCTGTCCTGAAGTTATGGTTTATCCCTGCCCAAACCATGACACTCCCACCTCCAAAGCAACCAGCCTCCTGTACACAGTTGCAATGATAACATTCATTACGTCGACGACACATGCCAGGCGTCTAGGGCAGATTCCATGTACCCGCGAAGACGGTTACGGACAGTTTGACAGGAGATGTTCCTCCAACCAGGGATGCTTGCTGCTGTTGTGGTGGCTGAACGAAACCGTTCATGGAGGTGTTGAACCCGGATGTTATGATCTTGGCAGAGGTGGTAACTCTTGGTCTCCCTGACCTTGCCTTGCAGTGGCTGTGAGTCGCATCCATAACCTGTTTATGGTTGCCCTAGACATTAAACTGCCTTGCAGCCTCAGGTTGACTGGACCCATACTGCAATCTTCCAATAGCGTTACGTTGAGCGTTGAATAATCTTGGTATTGTTTCACACTTCAGTATTCGCAAACAATTGCTTTCTTTGAGTTGAGAACCCATGTGTGTTATAGCCAATGTTCAAATCTCAATACATGCACAACACAAACATCCGTTGGTTCATGTATTTTGCTGCATTTGGGCGGCATGTTTTTAACCTTTTACGTTTTCTTGTGTTGTCCTTGTGTGGGTTCAGTTTGGGTTACAAAATAGTTTCCTCTAATCTTCTTCTACAGATATTTATTCAAGAAAATGTTTTATATACACACTCATTTTATTAAATCAAATTTTAGAATGTGTAATGTTTCTTTTTTGGGAGAGTATATACTTACCCCGGTAACCTATCTCATGTCTTGTACTCAACATCCATCACATTAAGTTAAGGTTAAGCTTAACAATTTGGAAATTTTAACTATAAATTGTATATTTAATACTTATCCTATCTCACACGATGGATGAGTACAAGACGTGAGATAGGATAAGTTTAAACATTGTTAGTTTATAGACTTATCTTGTGAACGTCTGCACAATGTCACTCGCAGAAAGTTAGAAAGTATTCAAGTGAGTTAGTGAGTTTAGATTTACGCCGCTTTTAGCAATATTCCAGCAATATCACGTAGTAGTGTGAAGATTCATCGATATGCATCGAAGCATTGATCCATGGACCGCTGATATAGTGAATCGATACAAACTTTGACATTTTCGTATATCCCGATACGATACCTCCAATGGACAATACATCGATGTTTTAACTTTGGATATTGCCGAATCGCGATATCTGTCAAGAAAAGAAACTTACTTTTGTTTGATGATTAAAATACATGCTTCCCTTCATAAGTAAACGTTTTCTCGGAAATTCCTGTGCCAAGAACTGTGTCAGACATAGCGCTCGCATGTTATTAACAAGGACAAAGTCTATATAAAGTTTATAAACTTAATTTTAATTATCTCGTTTCCGAATGAACATTGAAAAACGCTGGCCTAGTTTGTCGAATACTTTAAAATGGTTTTGTTTTGATATTTAGGTGTTTAATAGTTACGGTTAGAATTAAAGATTTTAGTATCGTGATGTATCGTATCGCAGGTTGTATGCCAATACCAGCACTAATATCACGGCGGGGTTGGGCTCCACACATTGTACCCATGTGGGGAATTGAATCCATGCCTTCGGCATGACAAGCGAACGCTTTAACCACTAGGCTACCCCACTGCCCCGAACAGTCTTTGAAACCTCTATTCGTGAGCAACAATAAGTTCAAAAGACTTTCTTTGGCTGGGTCTATTAGAATAGAACTCTTTGAACAGTCAACATGTTCAAGCGCACTGTTTCGGTCACAAGTATCAGTCGCGCTTCCTCCCTGGGACTGTGATGTGGAAGGTTCGCTCAATGTTGACTGTTAAAAGAGTTGTATTCTATAATATTTCCTATATGAATCCATTATTGATCCAGTAGATGGGGCATAAGAAAGTCTTCCTAGTATTGTTCAACTTGTACACTAAAAGTGGCATAATTGAAATTGTCAGACTAAGTAAGCCAACTATGCTTTCAACACATTCAACAGTCTCCTGTCTTGCAACATGACAACTACACAAGGCATGCAGTAAAGTAGAGTGCATGTAAAGGGAAGTAACTCTACACACTGCGGGGTCGCATTAATTTTAGTTTGTATGTTCGAGACGCAGAATATTTACTATTTTTCCTTCTTCTAAATGGAAATAAACAGGAAACATACAGCAGGCTTTATGATGATGCGCTGTTGCATGAGAACCAAGATTATGTAATTTTCTGATTAAAATTGATATTTTATACTTATCCTGACTCATGCTCTTTTGCTTGTCTTCTTCTTCTTGCGAACATAGTGGAACACTTGTATCTCCCTAATTGAAGCTCCCGTCAGTGTAAAATCATTATTTAGTACTCACCAAGAGTTGCCTCCCTCTTCCAAATGCGCGGGGAAGGAGGCGCCACCTCTTCCCTCATGCTTCACTCTCTCCTGATATAGCGTCCAACACTTGAATTTACTGGGAAATCCAAAGTGTTATGTGGGGAGGATGGGAGGGCTAGCTTACCTCATGAGTCAGGATAAGTATAAAATATCAATTTTATTCAGAAAATTACATATTTTTCCTTATCCTGACTCATGCTCTTTTGCTTGTCGAATCCTACGGAAACGGAGGTGGGAAAACAGAATACTTTGGATTTAAATAATTAGTGATTTCTGTATAAGTAATAACCCCCTACGGGAACTCCAAATGGCACTGTAAGCTAATTCCTGCTGTTATAAAACATAAGTTCTACCAGCTGCCATAGATGGGGGTACTACAATATATAGATACTATGATAATAGTAATAATGGTATAAAGCGACTCCAAAGTGGAGAAGCGACCCCATGTACATAAACCATCAGTACTGGGCTTAAGACTACTATAGACTTAAGATATGTATATAATAGCACAAACTCCGTAGAGTTATAAGCTAGATGAAACTGGTATGATATATACATAATAATAATCTCATGAGACTAATCATCGTCTACGAGGGACTGTCAACTGCTGTGCGAGGACCATGGCACCGAAATGGTGAATACCTGAGACGTCCTCGGTGGTGATATCTCTCAGATAGTGGTTAGCAAACACCATGTCGGATTTCCAAAAGCAGCCCTCCATAATGGTATTCAACGAGCAATTTCCGTGTAGAGCGAGTGTGGAAGCCAGTGCTCTGATTTCATGGGGATTAGATGCTCTTGGAGGGTCGAGTCCTGCAGCCTTGTAGGCACGAAGTATGACAGTTCGGTCTGAGTCGCTGTCGATGGAGGGATGAATAACCGCTTGAGTTGTCGTCGCCTCGTTTTGGATCGTTGTAGATAGATTTTGAGTGCTCTCACTGGGCATAATGATAGGTCAAGCGTATCTTGAGGTCCGAGAATTGTGGAGAGTGCAGGAACATGGAATAATCTGTCTGGTTGACCTGGCAATTGATTCTTGGCGATAAAATCCCATCGCAGTCCCATATGCACTATGTTTTGATTGTCGTCAAAACGTATTCTCTCATGATCTAGTGCGTGAATTTCTGACATCCTGGCTGCCGTTGCTAGGGATAACAGGAACAAAGTTTTCTGTGACAGAAATTCAAAGGCTGTTGATTCCAGTGGTTCATAGGCCTCACTTGTGAGGTGTTGGAGCACTATATTTAGATCCCATGCTGGAGCGCGAAATCTCTGTTTCTGATCCTCCAATCGGAATGCACGTAGTAAGGCGAGTAACTCTGGCGTCTTATTTAGCTTGACACCAGTTCCCATAGTTATCACAGAACTTAGCGCTGCGAGATAAGTTGACAATGTCGAGACTTTTAAATGTTTATTTTGTCGTAGGTAACACAGATAGTTAGCCACTTGTGGATGTGTAGCATTTCTCGCTGTAAATCCCTTTTTAGCATCGTAAGTTTCAAAACTGTGCCACTTGTCGTCATACAAGTTGCGCGTAGAATTGCGTAAAGCAAGTGTGACTGCTTTCGCCGCTCTGGCTGAATAACCTCTCTTGTTTAGACACACTTTAATACAGTCCATACGTGAAGTTGGAATGCTCCTGGGTTTCCGTGTGCTTGTTTTGTGTGAGGATGTATTAGTAGATTCGAGCGCTTTGGTAGCTCTAGTGTTGGTTGTCCGATTTCTTGAATTAGAATGGGAAACCACGTTCTCGCTGGCCAGTAGGGCGCGATCAAAATCAGTTGGAGACTCTGTGTTTGACTGATTTTCTGTAACACCTGTGGAATTAGCGCGCTGGCGGCGGAAACGCGTACACGTTGAGGCCTTCCCAGGATATGCTTAGTGCGTCTGTTGCCCACGCCTGTGGATCCGGGACTGGTGATATGAATGTTGTTAGCTGATTGTTGAAGCGAGTGGCGAATAGGTCTACTAGCGGAGCTCCTATTTCCTTGATAATCTGTGCAAAGATTTCTGTATGGAGCATCCATTCTGTCGGTGACGGTAGATGTGGCCGAGAGAGTGCGTCTGCTAGTACATTCTTGGCTCCTGGAATGTGGCATGCTCTGACATGTATGTTGAGATCGTCGATTAGATCGAACAGTTGAAAGCATAGAGTCAATAGGTTCAATGATCTCGTTGAGCCTTGTTTGTTTACATAAAACGCCACTGTTGAGTTGCCGGTGTGAATCATCAGATGCGCATTCTGTAGAATAGTGCTCCAATGTAGTCGGGCGTTGATAACTGCTTTCATTTCTAGCATGTTTATGTGCAGCTTGCTCTCTTGCTGGTTCCATAACCCTGATGACGTCCGGTTGGCGAGATGAGCTCCCCAACCTTGGAGCGACGCGTCTACATAGAGATGGGTTTTGAATTCCGGCTCTGTTAAATAGATGCCTTCACAGACATTCGACCTCCTGGTCCACCATAGTAGATGAGGTCTGATGTGCTTCGGTAGTAGGTCGTCGAGATGAGTGTTGATGAGGACCTGTAACGGACGTAACTGTAGTCTGCCTCTGACTGTCATGTCTTGGGCTGACGTGAGGAGACCCAACAGACTCTGCCATTGTCGTAGTGGTAGCGGAGATAGTAAGGCTTGTGGGATGGTCTGTTGGATCTTGAGCCATCGGTCCTCTGGTACGACGATACGGTTCTGTGTCGTGATAAATCGAATGCCTAGAAATTGCAGATCTTGCGTAGGTTCTAGGTCCGACTTGAGTAGATTTACTAACCATCCTAGCTGTGTTAGTAGCTTGATGATGTAGTTTAACTGTAGTTTGAGACGCTGTGGATCTTGATCTACTTAAATCCCGTCGTCGAGGTAGAATGCACTGCGTAGCCCTAGACGATGTAGGTAAGTGACGATGGGTTTCGTTACTCTTGTGAATAACCAGGGGGCCGATGATATTCCAAATGGGAGTACTTTCCATTGATAATGCAGCCCGTCTAGTGTAAACCGTAGGTATTTCCTGGATTCGAGATGTATGGGGATATGTAGATACGCATCCTGCAGGTCTATACTGGCCATGTAGTCCATGGGACGAATTAGGTGCCGCAGTTGAGGTAGATGTATCATGCGAAACGTTGGTGGTTTGCGTAGATAATCTCTGTTGAACGTGCTCATGTTGTAGATGAGTCTGAACTTTTCCTTGGAGTTTTTCTTGGGCACTAGGAAAACTGGGGAGTAGAAGCCTGGTTCGATGTTTACTTGATCCAGTACTTCTATGGCCTGCTTGATTAGTAGCGATGCAACAGCTTCTCTTAACTTAAGTAGTTGTTGCGCCTGGAAGTCGAACTTGTGAGGGATGACTGTAAGCGGAGGCGTGGCCTGTAGTTGGATTCGATATCCGTGATGTAGGATGTTGGAGACATAAGGGTCTTGCAGCATTCCCCAGTTCTCCCAGTGCAGTTGAAGGCGTCCACCCACTTGTGATGGTTGTACTAGAACGGCTGGGGGTGGAAGGCTCCAGTCGTTCCGAACCCGTCTTTCATCGTTTATAGTTGCGGGAACCTCTGGGTGCCCTGCCTCTTCCAGATCCTCCTTTGTAGTTGCCGTATGGGCGACGAAAAGAATCTTTTCCTCTTGAGGTGGCCATCTTCCTGTCCCGTGCCTTCTGTAAGCCAGTAAACTTAGATTTTCCTGAATATCTCTGTGATGTCTGTCTGATGAGGCTGGATAGCGTATCCATCGACTTTATCATAAGGACTTCCCTTGAGTCCTTGGTGACTTCTTTAGAGACTTTATCTATTCCTCCATCGAAGATAGATGGCGAAGACCACGGGGCTGTGTTGAGTGGAGATGTAAACTGTTCACCCCAACTACAGGAAGCGAGGAGACCTTGACGACGAGCCAGAGTTAGCGCTGCGGAGACTGATGTAAGATGATCCGTTAAGAACTGCTGGTCCTTCTTCTGCATAAGGAGGGCCGAGTAAATCATTCTGTCATCTTCTGACGTAGAATCACGAAATCTGGCGATAGTCTTGGCATCGTTGATTACTTTGAAGTTATCGTTGATATCTTGTGCCTTGAAAATGGGTCCATATTATGGGATGAGAACTTTTTGGCGCTGAACTGTGGTAAGTGCGGCGCCTGGGCTTTAGTGGCTTTATGGAAGGCTGTGTCGAGATTCTGAGAGACTGTTGCTATCGGGTCGATCGGGGGTAGGGTGATGGTGTCTGCATCGTCCTCCCTCATGAGATAAGTGTGGGCCGGGTTACTGTTCTTGGAAGGTGAAGCTAGGTCCAGGTTGTTAACCATCCAGTAGCGTATTTCTGCGTCGGAGAATATAATGCCTCCATCATCTTCTGTAACGGGATCTCTAATCAGAGGTTGATCGGATGGTGACTGAGGTGGAGACCTGTATACTTCTACCGCTGTGCAGGATGACGTCAACGGAGACCTGTCTGGGGACTTCCGTGAAGACTTGTGAGGCGAACGGTGTGATGACCTGCGTGGAGACCTGGTGAACGACGAGGTGATCGACGCGGAGATCGGCGAGGAGATCGTCGTGGAGACCGGCCTGGTGAACTGCGTTGATACAGTGACCTTCGCGGAGATCTATGTGGTGAACGTTGATAGCTTCGCGGAGCGCTCGGGGAATCCCTCAATGACCTTGTAGACGAAGATGACTTGGAGCCTGTATATGGAGCCCTTCGCGAAGACCTTCGCGAAGCTTCATCTGTGTCCGGTCCTGGGGAGTGACGACTTGACCTTCGCGAAGGCTGTGGGTCCGAGTCAGAGTCCGGGGATGATAGGATCTTCCTTCGCGATCCTCCTGGATGATCATCGGAGTCCGAGACAGGTGACGCTCTAGCTGTCCTTCGCGAAGGCCTTCGCGAAGGCTGTACATCTGGGTCCTTCGCCGAGGTTGGCTGTGACGTCTTTCGCGAAGGTGGCTTCCCCATCGATGACTTGATAGCGGCTGCTTCATTCACGTAAGGTCCCTCTGGGGTGTCGTCTACGTAGGAGCATTCGCGAAGGCTCGGCCTCTGGGCTGGTTGTCTCTCCAGGCCGTAGCAGTCTTCCATCATCTTCATAATGTGTAGGACCAGGTCATCTGGGACGGTCTGCGAACATGTAGATGGTGCCCTCTCTGCGTTGGTAGTGATGGGACCCTCAGGAAGATCATCAGACATCAGCGTTGGTACATCAGACTGCGTGTTGATCTGCGCTGACGTCACTGTAGCCGACACCGGTCGTTTCTTGTGGCGTACATCGGGTATGATGATCAGCTGATCATCATACAGGCCTAGTTCTGCGGCGGGAACAATCTCGGCGGAGAAAGTCCTAGTAGACTTCGCTGGTTTCCCCTTGGAGGTAGACGCTGCCCTGGGGATACGGAGTCTGCGTTGTGACGAAGTGGAAGCCCTCTTAGTCTTCGGCTGCGACGACGGGATGTCTGGGGATGCAGGACGCTTCTTGGAGCTAGCGGACTGCGTCCCACGCCTCTCCTCCGAGGGTAACTCTAGCGGAACACCAGACGGGAGGGGGTCGTCCGACAGCAGTTGACTGGTTAGGGGTTCCGAAGTATCGGCCATGGCTAGGTTCTGTTTACGTGACCTATCTGCTGCGCGTCTCAAGACGCAAAGATAATATTTGTTAAATGCAGAGTTAGACAAATTGTTACAGTAACTGCAACGTGAAGAAAAAGCACATGGTGCAGTACAGCTAGGGCATATTAAATGTGGATCGGCAGCAGAAAAACGTAGCCTACAAACAGTAGTTTTTCATCAATGCAAACTGCTGAACAATCACGGCGTCCCGTGAATAAACAGCAGAAACACGAATAAATATCAATACATAATTGTTGAAGGATACTAGCTAAACCTCTATAGATGACTATAGGATATAGTGTGTAGGGAGACACAGGCGCTCTCACATCCTGCTCACTGGGCGAAGAAGGAGAGAGTGAAGCATGAGGGAAGAGGTGGCGCCTCCTTTCCCGCGCATTTGGAAGAGGGAGGCAACTCTTGGTGAGTACTAATTATGATTTTACATTGAAGGGAGCTTCAATTAGGGAGATACAAGTGTTCCACTATGTTTGCAAGAAGAAGAAGACAAGCAAAAGAGCATGAGTCAGGATAAGGAAAAATATATTTTTTTTTTTAGCCCCTAGGCACAATTACAGCATTTAGGCCTGCTTATCATGAGACTGTTAAAACCAAATGTAATTAAAGTGTTTCATCACTATGACCACAAAAGCTGATGTCAGGTTTTTTGGCCTTATCATGTATTTGATTTCATCATACGGTAACCTCTGTGTCCAATTCAGCCTGCAATACCAATGGAAACACAGCACTATTTCAACAAACCTGATAACATGACTGAATATTTTTACTGGAGCTATATTCAAGCTACCGCACTGTTATCAATTGTAGGCCAATGGGTGGCACATAATGATGTAACCACCCAATGAACATTAGCCAGCTCCTATGTCAAGATGGTGGAGTCCACTTGGAGCAATGAGTGAGTGAGTTTAGTTTTACGCCGCACTCAGCAATATTCTAGCGATCTGTAAATAATTGAGTCTGGACCAGACAATCGGACCAGTGATCAACATCATGAACATCGATCTACACAATTGGGAACCGATGACATGTCAACCAAAGTCAGCGAGCCTGACCATCAAATCCTGTTGGTCACCTCTTACGACAAGCATGGGTCACTTGGAGCAATGACTACACCACACTATACAACTTGTGCCTCTTGTTGTACGGATATCCTTACCGATCCCTTTGTAACTTTCATGACAATCACTCGCAGTATGAAGCATGTCCACACAATGTGTAGAACTTGAAGGACAGCTAGCAGAAAGTTGAACAGCCAAAAGCATGTCCCCACTGCAACATAGTCGTGTACTTCGAAGTAGGTGGTCTTCAATATCCTGAAACAAGCAACAAAAATAGAATAATCATAGATATCAACACATTTTAACTTCCTGTGTATATGATTAACACGCATTTTACAATAGAAAATAACAGAGACTGATTTCCAAAAAAGGTAGGTGAAATATTACGAAGTGAACAATCAGTTCCAATCAGAACTACTTAGATGATATGTACAATAGAAAAAGAGAGGCATGTTTCCAAAAAGATGGACAGCCACCGCAAGTGACCTTGATATTCTCTACAGGTGTAGCAATGGTACATCAGTTGTGAGGCCTCCAGCTCTGTTGTCATGTTACAGTTGAGAAAACAAAGTGTGGGGGCAACAGTGGTAAAATCTCAACAATCAATTCATGCTGGCCCTTCTCACTGAAGCTGCTAAATTATCCCCGAGTTGGAGGGTGCTAGTTACCAGCCAGCTGGTGGTGGCTTACCAGAAGGGGTAGAGGTACAGCCGACAGAACACCCAGATTGCGATGAAGATGAAGAACAACACTTCACATAGTAACTGCTTCTTCAGGTATTTGGCCATCTTAGCTGCCTGGACAGAGGCAGAAGATCCATATGTATTGCACAGAAAGTAAAACATTGCTACAGGACTTCACACACATAACACAGGACATTAAACATTCCTAGAGGACAATGACATAGATTCAGGTTAATTGCATGCTGGCAGCTGGTCTTTCAGTAGCAGATTCTAGAGAAAATATATGCTATAGATGAATCCCATTTTAATCGTACATCAATTCTCACTGATACTTGTTAATCAATAGACTGTGAGCCAGGCTCAATCATTTCCCGGACTGGAGTCATATAGCATAAAAGGTTGTTGAGCAAAGCATTAAACTAACAAACTACAAACCAGTTCTCATTCTCTGTAAAGCTGCTAAATACAGATGCTCATTACAACTTACGAGGGCAGTTTTAGCTAATTCAAGGTGTATTAGGACAGTATGTTGTACTGGCAACTAAGATAATGGTGATGGAGAAAGTAGCCATGGTGGAGAGAGAGGGCAGAAGGGGAGGCACAGCAGGGCTGATGAAGGAGTAGAGGAGACAAGGAAGACATGGATGATTGGCCTGTCGAGCACCACTCATGACACCTACCAATTCTTTATTGATATTTCTGCAAGTCGTTTCAAACCCGATTTTGACTCTCAACTAAACAATCTTGACACAAATGGATGATGATATATTCACACAAAAATGGGGGTGTGGTCGAAACAAACGCTCTGATTGGTCAGGGCTTGTAAAATCTGCACATTTTTTTTATAAATTCGAGGGAATTTTTACTTTCATCAGCTGCTTGACTTGGAGGAAATGTAGGATTTTTCCCAGAAATGGCTTCTCAAAGAAAGCATCACTTGTAAATGTCTCCGTACCAAACATCACCGAACCAGAGGGCTTGCTTCAACCACACACCCATTTTGTGCGGATACATCGTCATCCATTTGTGTCAAGATCATTGTACAGTCCGATTGAGTCAGAAACGGACCAATGAATTGCAAATTTTATCATTGTACAAAATTGCCACATAAATATAAATAGTACACATGTTTATCATTTACTAATACCCAACAGCTTTTTTATATTGGAAAATTTTCCGGACTCCACCAAAAAAGTTATTACAGAAACTATCATCATTGAAAACGCAAAAGTTGTTATCTGTCGCGGCGGGGTGAAACCGCAGAAACGGAACAGCCAGTCATGGCGGGGGACATCTCAAAATCTATTCCGGGAGACCTGTTGACACAGTTTTGCCAAGTTTCAGTCGTGATTTTGTAAAGGGATTCCTTAACCAAAACGTCAGTCACGTAATCTAAAAGTTGTGTTTGATCTGGCAACATCTCCTTTGACAATTCCCCATATCATTTCAATGGGGTTAAGGTCACAGTGATAGGGTGGAAGTTGCAGAATATCGTGACCCTTACTTTTTATGTAACTGTCAACTTTGTAGAAAGGTTCACCTTTGTGGTTTTTTTATGATCTCATATAGCTGAGGCTTCGTTGCCTTTGAAGGCCGTGCGATCTGAAATTTGTCGAGCCATGATATCATATCACCTTTTCGACTGTTTGATGTCGGGGCTTTACTGTCGGGGTCCTGCACGCTGTGGTATGGGGCATTGTCCATTACGATAAAAGACTTCTCTGGTAGAGCTGGTACCAACTTGTTTTTAACCCACTTGTGGAAAAGCGCACCATTCATCTCGGAATGGTAGTCTCTGTTATCTGTGGACTTTGCCCTGAATACCAAGTCGCAGCCTGGGAGAAAGCCTTTGCTGGAGCAACCAGCATAGAGAATGATTAGTCTCTCTCCTTTCCCTAGAGGCAGCTTTCTACGTGACCCCTTATCAACCCTATCGGGTACCCACTGACTGCTGGCAGTGTGCGAGGCATTGACCTAGGTCTCGTCCAAGTACACTGGCTCGAACCCTTCCTCGCTCTTCTTCTTTATAACCCTGAGAAAATTATTTCTCAAGCTTAACGATATCAGGGCGTTCACAGAGTACTGACCTATTCTCCCCCGGAATTTTCTTTTAACGATACCCGAAAGAGTGTAAGAGTTGCCAGAGTGTGTACTTTGATACTCTGAGGTTGTGTTCTTGCTTCAAATGCTTTTTTAAAATTTTCAGCGACATGTATTTGTTTTCAGAATAGAAATTGTTGATGGACTGCCTTACAAGGTTCTTTTGAAAGTTGTCCAAATGTTTTAATTTGTGTGATTTTGACACCACCCCTACCTGCTTCGCATCACCCTCACAATGTATGTGTTCCAGAACATTTGTCAGTACCCTTGCTGATACTCCTAAAGCTTTTGCTGCCCGCCTACGGAATTTATTAATGGCATAAAATGGTTTGCCCCTTTCGGCTTCAGCACGGAAAAAATCGTACACTTTAATCATCAACTGTTTCACGTCAGCATTCAACTTCATTTTTCATCAGGCATTTGTATCCCTTGCACGACGAGATAGTGGCTGTTCCGTTTCTGCGGTTTCACCCCGTCACGACAGATAACAACTTTTGCGTTTTCAATCTGGTGGAGGAGAGGTGGTGGTAGATCTGGTGGGGGAGGGGAGAGGTGGAGGAGGGAAGAGGTGTTGGAGGGGAGAGGTGTTGGTGGAGGAGGGAAGAGGTGTTGGTGGAGGAGGAGGGGGGAGAGGTGAGGTGGTGGTGGTGGTGGAGGAGGAAGGGAGAGGTGGTGGTAGATCTGGGGGAGAGGTGGTGGTAGGGGGAGACCTGGTGGAGACCTGGTGGAGGGGGAGGTGGTGGTGGTAGATCTGGTGGAGGGAGAGGTGGAGGTACAGGTGGTGGAGGAGGGAGAGGTGGAGGTAGATCTGGTGGAGGGGAGAGGTGGTGGTAGAGGTTGGGGAGGGGCGGGAGAGGTGGTGGTAGATCTGGTGGAGGAGGGAGGGAGAGGTGATGTTAGATCTGGTGGAGGAGGAAAGAGGTGGAGGTACAGGTGGTGGAGTAGGGGAGAGGTTGTGGTAGAGGTCGGGGAGGAGGGGAGAGGTGGTGGTAGAGGTCGGGGAGGAGGGGAGAGGTGGTGGTAGAGGTAGATCTGGTGGAGGACGGGAGAGGTGGTGGTAGATCTGGAGGAGGAGGGAGGGAGAGGTGGTGGTAGAGGTAGATCTGGTGGAGGAGGAGAGAGGTGGTGGTAGATCTGGAGGAGGAGGGGAGGGGAGAGGTGGACATCTGGAGGAGGAGGGAGGGGGAGAGGTGGTGGTACATCTGGAGGAGGAGGGGAGGGGAGAGGTGGTGGTAGAGGTAGATCTGGTGGAGGAGGAGAGAGGTGGTGGTAGATCTGGAGGAGGAGGGGAGGGGAGAGGTGGTGGTAGATCTGGAGGAGGAGGGGAGGGGAGGTGGTGGTACATCTGGTGGAGGACGGGACAGGTGAAGGAAGGAAGAGTGGTGGTTGATCTGGTAGATTCTTACAGCCATCCAGTGGTCAGAAGCATCATGCACAACTAGGACCAGTGTCCCAACACGGACATAGTTTATGATCCAGGAAAAGTACAACAGCATCATCGTGATCATGTGATGAGTAGCCATCTCCCAAAAGTCCTGAAAAACAACATGGTGATTTGTAGACACAACCAAGGATAGACAGATAGCCTACATTTTGTTGAAGCATGATTAATTGAAAATTACTTGTTCATTACCCAGTAACTGTTGACCCACCTTGCGTTTGACATCATAGAAAAGTGTGAAGAGCAAGCACCAGTAGAAGCCCATTTCCACCAGATAGAAGTAGTAGATGTCATTGGTCACATGCTGCAACACAGAGTACACATCATACACCTGGCAAACAGTACATCATAAAGCTGCTACACAATACACAACCAGGAAGGTGCGGGAATGGATTAGTTTCACACGGCATAGAGTATACAGGGACAACACAAACAGCTGCTTTATCTATTGGCTGAAGTTCTGTTGAAGTGCAGGATCGTGAAACATCTGTGGCCAACAGTGTGAGCATTAATATGTCTCACTGCACTGTACCCAACAATCAGACTGTTCCTATCTGATTGGGTACAGCACCCGACAACCAACCTGGTCCTATCTGACTGGGTACAGTATTCGACAATCAACCAGGTTCTATCTGACTGGGTTCAGTACCCGACAACCAGCCTGGTCGTATCTGACTGGGTACAGTACCCGACAACCATCATGGTCCCAGTGTGCGAAATAGACACTGGCCCACTAGCCCGTAGCTAGTAAAAATCCTGTCGGGCCAGTAAATCTCCACAGTCACTGGCCCGACTGACTAGTGAATTTTCATGGGGTCATTTTGTAAATATATCACTCTTTCTGACTTGTTAAGTTATAATACACTTTTAAATCATGCAAGATTATGGCCTGATAAACATGTTCATCATATTAGCAGCTTGATGATGAAAGACGTGTTGACATTCAAATTTTGGGCTAGTGAATTATTTTGTGGGCTAGTAACATTCAGGCTTAGCTAGCCCGACTGGCTAGCAAAATTTGGAGGTATTTTGCACACATCTTTCTTACACATCAAAATCCTGATCAAAGGACTATAACAATCTTAGCTACTTAAGACTGATTTTGACCAACTATAACTTGTAGGGCTGCTCCTGTTCTTGCAAGAAGATTGTGATTACATCAAAGCTTAAGATTGCAACCTACAGGATTTACAACAAGCATTGTCACAGGGGTGACATAATCCCCCCGCTGCAAATTATCAAATCAAACTTATAAAGTAATGAAAGTTTAAGATGAAGTTAAATATCAACAAAAACATGACTAATCAACCTCTCTTGATATCTGGCTCTTTAGTTGTTCAAACACACACATATTTTCAAGATTGACTTTGACCTTGACATGAATGTCATAGTGTATGAAATATGCAAAACTAGTACTAAAGAAATTGCTTATTGAAAAACATTCAAGAGAAGTCTTAAAAGTCTATGAAGAAAATCAAGTGAACTGTTCATAAAATATCTTGCTGACAATTCAGGTTAACATGCTGAAAACTTCAAAGTGTCGTCGTGACCCTAGAAATTATGTGAAGGTCACCAAAATTGACTGGGCCCTGGGCCTTCCCTAGATTAAGCTTGGTGTCAAATATGAAGAAAGTCCAGTAAATATTTTTTGCGATATCTTGCTGACTATCTAACATGCAATTTAACATGCTGAATGCTTCAAAGTGTCTCTGTGACCTTGAAAATTAAGTGAAGGTCACCAAAATTGACTGGGCCCTGCGCCTTCCCTAGATAAAGCTTGGTGTTAAATATGAAGAAAATCCAGAGAACGGTTCTTGAGATATCTTAACCTGCAGGTTTAGATCCTGAAATCTTCAAAGTGTTGCCATGACCTTGAAAATTAAGTGAAGGTCACCAAAATCGACTGGGCCCTGCGCCTTATTGAATATGAAGAGAATCCAGTGAACGGTTCATGATGCAGGTAAAATGTTAAAGTCCCCTTGTGACCTTGAAATAAAGGTCAAGGTCACCAAACCTGAGTTTCTTATACAGTGATGAAACTAGGTACCAAATATGAAAAGAATCTAGTGAGCGGTTCTTAAGCTATTCCAATTTGTACGTACGGAGCCTAATACTACATTTTCCTGTTTCGCGCTAAACGCTCGGCAGGGGATAATAATTCAGTCTCTTACTTGGACCCAACAATAACCAATGTCATAATGCATAGGAATCATCCTACCTGTTTAGGCCATCCCTTCCAACAGTTGGTTGTGTCCCACAGCCATGGCTTCTGACAACAGACAATATGGAGAGGTGTCAGTCCACATGGAGAGGTGTCAGTCACAGTCCCCAGGAGAGGTGTCAGTCCACATAGAGGTGTCAGTCACAGTCCCCAGGAGAGGTGTCAGTCCACATAGAGGTGTCAGTCCACATGGATAGCTGTCAGTCCACATAGAGCTGTCAGTCCACACAGAAAGGTGTCAGTCCACATACAGAGAGGTGTCAGTCCAGATAGAGAGGTGTCAGTCACAGTCCCCAGGAGAGGTGTCAGTCCACATAAAAAGGTGTCAGTCCACATTAAGAGAGGTGTCAGTCCACATAGAAAGACGTCAGTCCACATAGAGAGAGGTGTCAGTCACAGTCCCCAGAAGGCGCATCAGTCCACAAGGAGAGGTGTCAGTCCACATAGAGAGGTGTCAGTCCACATACAGAGAAGTGTCAGTCACAGTCCCCAGGAGAGGTGATAGTCCACAGAGAGGTGTCAGTCCACACGGACAGGTGTCAGTCCACACAGAGGTGTCAGTCCACATACAGAGAGGTGTCAGTCACAGTCCCCAGGAGAGGTGCTAGTCCACATAGAGATGTGTCAGTCCACATAAAGGTGTTAGTCGCAGTCCCCAGGAGAGGTGTCAGTCCACAAGGAGAGGTGTCAGTCCACATAGAGAGGTGTCAGTCCACATAGAGATGTGTCAGTCCACATAGGGTGTTGTCAGTCACAGTCCCAAGGAGAGGCGTCAGTCCACATAGAGAGGTCTCAGTCCACATGGTGTCAGTTGCAGTCTCCAGGAGAGGTGTCAGTCCACAGAGGTGTAAGTCTACATGGAGAGGTGTCAGTCTATATTGGGAGGTGTCAGTCCACAAGGAGAGGTGTGACTGTGAGGTGTGACTCCACAGGAGAGGTGTCAGTCCACATAGAAGTGTCAGCACAGTCTACATTGAGGGGAGTCAGTTGCTGTCCACAAGGAGGTGTCAGTCCACACTGTGAGGTGTGAGTCCACAAGGAGAGGTGTCACAGTCTACATGGAGAGGTGTCAGTCTACACTGAGAGGTGTCAGTCTACACTGAGAGGTGTCAGTCCACTTAGACGTGTCAGCACAGTCTACATTGAGGGGAGTCAGTTGCTGTCCACAAGGAGAGGTGTCAGTCCACACTGTGAGGTGTGAGTCCACAAGGAGAGGTGTGAGTCCCCAAGGAGAGGTGTCACAGTCTACATGGAGAGGTGTCAGTCTACACTGAGAGGTGTCAGTCCACTTAGACGTGTCAGCACAGTCTACATTGAGGGGAGTCAGTTGCTGTCCACAAGGAGAGGTGTCAGTCCACACTGTGAGGTGTGAGTCCACATGGAGATGTGTCAGTCTACATTGAGAGGTGTCAGTACTGTCAGTCACAGTCTACATTGAGAGGTGTGAGTCCACATAGAAAGGTGTCAGTCCACAAGGAGAGGTGTCAGTCCACAAGGAAAGGTGTCAGTCTACATTGAGAGGTGTCAGTCACAGTCCAAATAGAAGGTGTCAGTCCACATGGAGATGTGTCAGTCTACATTGAGAGGTGTCAGTCACAGTCCACATAGAAAGGTGTCAGTCCACATGGAGAGGTGTCAGTCACAGTCTACATTGAGAGGTGTCAGTCACAGTCTACATTGAGAGGTGTCAGTCACAGTCCACATTGAGAGGTGTCAGTCACAGTCTACATTGAGAGGTGTCAGGCCTCACTGAGTGGAGTCAGTCACAGTCTACATTGAGAGGTGTCAGTCACAGTCTACATTGAGAGGTGTCAGTCCTCACTGAGTGGAGTCAGTCACAGTCTACATTGAGAGGTGTCAGGCCTCACTGAGTGGAGTCAGTCACAGTCTACATTGAGAGGTGTCAGGCCTCACTGAGTGGAGTCAGTCACAGTCTACATTGAGAGGTGTCAGTCACAGTCTACATTGAGAGGTGTCAGGCCTCACTGTCAGTCACAGTCCACATAGAAAGGTGTCAGTCTACATTGAGAGGTGTCAGTCACAGTCCACATAGAAAGGTGTCAGTCCACATGGAGAGGTGTCAGTCTACATTGAGAGGTTTCAGTCACAGTCTACATTGAGAGGTGTCAGGCCTCACTGAGTGGAGTGAGTCACGGTCGACATGGTAGGATGTCAGTCCAAATGAAGAACATTTCTTCCTGAGGACACGCCTTAACCCAAGATACAATGCAGACTTTGTGGTCATGCCATCCTCATATATGTCCTTCATCTAAATAAACAGAATTATCATATTATTGAGTTTAGAAATTAACACACAAAAATTCTTTAGCTATTAGAGCTTCTGTAGTTCTGTAGGCAGAAAGGCTTGTTTTCTACAAGTGACATAGCACATTCATGAATCTAGTGTACTCACATCCCACAAAGTGAACATTCCATATGTGAAGGATGTCAAGTAGAACAGCATCTGCCAGCTGAAATAATCAACACAAACTCTGTCAAGACAAAACACTTCTTCAAACAAAACGTCCTGTCAAAACAAAACACTTATCCAAAACAATACACACTGCCCAAACAAAACACTTCTTCAAAACAATACCCGATGCCCTAACAACAATTATGGTAAGTCAAAACAATACTTCTGGTGAGTGACACCTCCCCTCCATCATCCCCACTCATGAGGGGACATTTATTGAAAACAATCAACTTTGTCAGAAATGTACTTTTTAGAGTAGAAATATTGTTTATACTCATACTGTCTGCTTCTCTCTCCCTCAGCTCGAGATGCAGAGGAAACATCTGTGTTGTGTTTCCCAAGAATAGTAAAGACATTTCAGTTAAAAGCATCCCATCATCGCATATGCATTACTTATCACACTTTCCATTTTCGTAATTTCCAACTAAAAAAAACAGTGGTAATTAGAGGAAAGTGAGAATTGGTTGGTGGGTAGTTTTGTGTATGAGTCAGGATAAGCATGAAATAATGTTTTGATTATGTTTCTTTCCTTATCCTGACTCACACTATTTTTTCAATCCGTCAGTAGGTGCTGGGCAGCAACCTAATTTTTAATTCATGTACTGTTTATGTAACCCCTTGGTAACTGCCAGTCTTCTTGAATCTTGATGAAAAAGGGTACCACCTTCATTTCCAAACAAAAGAAAAAGAAATAAATAGGTTTCTTACTTGTCTTAAGGGGATCCTTATGTTAAGAATAGGTCATAATCGTAACTGAATGAGTGAGTGAGTTAGTTTGGTTTTACACCGCTTTTAGCAATATTCCAGCAATATCACGGCGGGGGACGCCAGAAATGGGCTTCACACATTGTACCCATGTGGAGAATCGAACCCGGGTCTTCGGCGTGACGAGCGAACGCTTTAACCACTAGGCTACCTCACTGCCCCCATAATCGTAACTGAATTGTTGTTTCAAATTACATAGTAAATGGACTGAGAATCTCAGTTGTTATCTATTGGGACAATAACCAGACAATAACCACATGTGATTCTGGGTGAACATTATCTTGTTGAAGGAAATGTAAAAGGTCCAGATTGATGAATACCGGCAACATCTTCGGTAGCGATATATCTAAGATACAGGATGGCACAAACATCCTGCTATACTGAATGTGATGGAGCAGATGCCATGAAGTGCTAGCCAGGATGTTAAGGCTGCTTCACGCGGGTTGAATCGAGTCCCACAGCTATGTAGGCTCTAAGAATTATAGACTAACGCTTAGTTTCTGAATATATGATTGTAACAAATAAACCCATTTCAGGGTTACAGATAAGGAGCGTACAGGCGTAATGTACGCCTACAAATCTGTGAAGTATGGCATAATATAAGATTTCAAGCGTATCATGTACGCACATAAAAACCTTTGTATGTTTAACATATATGAAGTTTAATAGCTTGAAAGTGGTTTGATATTATATATAACAAACCACATAACTAACTCGCTCACACAAAAATATGTCAGTACTCCTTCAAAATTCTAAGTACATCTCCACTTGCAATATCCCCAAAAGTTATCTGGAGCCCTGCATTTAAATTGAAAAGGAGCCCAAGGTAGACCAGAGATTCTGAACCTGGGGAGTGAGTGAGTGAGTTTAGTTTTAAGCTGCACTCAGCAATATTCCAGCTATATGGCAGCGGTCTGTAAGTAATCGAGTCTGGACCAGACAATCCAGTGATCAACAGCAGGAGCATCTATCTACGTAACTGGGATCTGATGACATGTGTCAACCAAGTCAGTGAGTCTGACCACCTGATCCCGTTAGTCGCCTCTTACGACAAGCATGGGTTACTGAAGGTAAATTCTAACACAGACCTTCACGGGGTCCTGAACCTGGGGAAAACTAGACATGCTTCATTAGGGCTTTAGCACTGCAGGGAGGGCTAGGCTGTAGGGAAAATAATATGGTTCAGGGACTGTGAGACAGACTATGAGAATTACTGCTCTCACCCAAATAAGAAAGTAGTTCTTGAAACTTTTGAAGAAGTTTTACCTGATAGAGATATGAATTACCTCTTGAACCTACTTCTTCAAGTCATTTTTTCATAGAGCTCTCACTGGAGAGTGGGTATCTTTAGTGTCTCCTGATCCCCCAAAAATCGATGTCAGAGCTAGGATGTGAAACTTAGCTGCCGCGACCTTCTACTAGTGTTTGTTCGACTCAGTGTGGCAGTGTAACCAATAATACTGAGCCTAAGTTTACTTGAGGTTGAGGCTGTCTGTCAGTTCAAACAGTTGAAACAGCAACTGTAGAAGACTTGTCGGCCTTTCTGTGCCTTGTATTTTGATGTAGACATCTACAACTGCAGAACTACTAACAATAAAGAACTCAGGAGATGTCATTGAAAATCACTTCTAATTCTAGCTGGTTGCTGTGAGGAGACTTCTCTTCTTTGGACCATAGTCCTGACATCACTTTTGTGTTGAAGTGAGCTCCCCAACCATGCAATAAAGTGTCTATGTATAGATGTAAGTTGTTAAAACGTCTCTCCGAAACAAGTTCCTCCGCAGATTTTGAACTTGAGATTCCACCAATACATATGTGTTTCTTTGGATGTGAAGGAAGACATATCCTGGTGATTCTGATGATCCAGAAATAATCTCAGGAACCTTTGAAAAGGTCTTAATTGAAGTTTGCCTCTTCAATGGATGCTCTCCCATTTGATTTGAAATCAACTCTAATCTAATTGTTTCAAGAAGCATCTTAAGACCTACCTGTTCAATAGAAATGGATTGTAAACATGGGATATCTATGAACTCTGTCAGAGCTTTGAGGACACTTTGGTGTGGAGTTAAATGCAATATAAGAATCCATATTATTATTTATTTATTACTTGAGATCTTGTGAACGTGGAAGATCCGACTTCTGATTGTTGATTAACCAACTAAGTCAGGTTAACAACTGTGGAGTGATGTTCAGCTGGTTTGAGCTGCTCTGTTAGTTGATGAGCCTGAATCCCGTCGTCAAGTTAGAAGGTGCAACAGAACCCCTTGTTGTTAAGAAAAGCCAGTATGAGTTTGGTTATCCGTGTACACAACCACAGGTAAGTAGATATTCCAAACGGAAGTACCTCCCACAAGTAATGTTGATCTTGAAACATGAAGCGCAGGAACTTCCTGGACTCTCAATGAATGGGCATAAGTAGATACGCATCTTCAAGATCTATGCTTGCAAGAAAGTCGTTTGGCCTTCTCTGTTGCCTCAACTCTGAAAGATGGAGCATCTTGAACTTCTGTGTTGATTGAGGACACTTCATGTTGAACTCCTTTGTGTTGTAAATAAAGTCACAATTTCTTGCTTGAATTCTTCCTTGTTACCAAGGAGATTGGAGAATATACTGGTACCATTCAGGCTGCTAAAGGTCTTAGGCCGCATAAAAGTCTGGGTCTGCGTGAAGGTTCTCTGATGAATAGCTGATGATGCTTAAGAAAGCGTAGGTAGCTGCATGAATGATGAATGAATGGCCTTCCATCATTTCTGGTTGTAAAACCATTGGAAGACTTTGTGATGGGTAGGTCCCCTGGATATGGTGATGCAATAATCTTCTGAGAATTCTGCATACAGGTCTCAAACTCATCTTCTAATGTGAAAAGGTTCAAATCCCCTGAAGTAACAGTTGCAATTGTCTTTGTAGACATAGACTTCTTCTTCGCAGTTTTCTTCAACTTTGTTAGTTTCCAAAGATTCTTTTGTTCTTCAGCTGACAATTTCCTCTTGTTACATACAACCTTTGCGACTGTCTTAATAGCCCTTTCACCAATAGTAGAGTCCCATAAAGGAGAAACCTATACCGACTGAAAAGAATTCATATTAACAAACTGAACATTAATATCTTCCTCAGGACTTAATAAAACTTTATAATTTTTATAGGAAGGCCTGGAATAGAAAACACAGACATTTTCCCCAACCTTCCCATTTGGCAAAAAAGGAGATAGTGATGAGTCATCAACTGGCCATGTAGGAGGGCGGTTGGCATGCAGGGTGGCTGGGTGTGGTTGGGTGAGATGTTTATACTGTTTTTGAGGAAAATAACACACAATGTTTCCACTGAATCTAAGGTTAATATAGAGAGAAGCAAATAGTATGAGTCAGGATAAGGAAAACTCAGAACTTTATGTAAAAAAATGAAATATAGTCAAAAGAAAACAGTAAAAACAATACACTTGTTCAAAACAATCCATTTGGTCAAAACAAATAGCCAATACCAGCTGGATGATCCAGTTACAGTCAGAGATTACAACTGAGTTGTGATATGCATATTGAGAAGAAAAGGGTGATAGTTGAGGTTTACCTCTGATCACGGAAACGAAACAGGTTGCTGGGCACATCTTTCAATCTACGCCTGAAAAACCATCTCTGTACCTGTCTTTCAGTCATATCAGTTTGTTTTTGTGCTTTCTGAAATGAATAAAACAAAATTCAATCAGTATTATAGACCCACCCATTCACTGGAATCAAACTCGGGCCTTTGGCATGACGAACGAATGCTTTAACCACTAGGCTACCCCACAGCCCCTGTAAACTTTAAAACCCTCTATACCAGTATATACTTTACTTGCAGATCCTCCCTGTTCTTTAACTGATAACCCCACTTTTCGGAGTAGTAATTCCTATTTCAATCCAAATTCATCACAACCCTCCAGCCTTACTACTGAACTGTGTTTAAGCAGATGTCTACTTGGTAGTTTAGTTGGGCATGACCCTGTCTGCACATGTTACTACTGCAGCCTTTATCAGCTGCTTACCTCTGGACTATGAAATACTGTGAAATAGGCATAGATCCAAACTTACCTCAATGTCTGTCTTCGACAGACGCTTCCCTTTGATATGCTTGTACATGGCCTCCAACATTTGGTTAGGCACAAGGTAGACGTATCTGTCTTTGAGGCCAAGCCTCTTGGCAATTGGAACAACAATCAATCTGAAAAAGAAGTATAAAATTTACTTGACCATTGGAATCACACAACTTCCTAGAGGGATTCCATGTTTCACATCTGTAACCTGCAATACAGCAAGTACTGCACACACTGTGCATGCCCCAAAGTATCACACATACTGGGCAGTACTGTGCACATGTCAATGTATATAAAACTTACACAAAACGATTGAGATGCATATGTGCGTATGACCATGTATGAAAGAAATGTCAATGTGCAACTAATAAGGAATTAGGATACGCAGTACAAACAGTACTAATTCGTGCAATACGATGGCATTCACTAGGAGATCATTCAGCTTGCATTGTATCTGCGCTGCAAGTATGCTATGCATACGTCCAATATACGCGGCTCATAGCTCGTGAGGGGAGATCAGCCTATTGCTGCCTATGAAGCGCTAATCCCCCACAAACACATAGCAGACTCATACTACGCTTGACCGATTTGGGACCGATTCACTACGTATTTATAAACTTACACAAAACGATTGCGATGCATACGATGTGTGTATTGTGAGTACGACTGCATATGAATGCACAACTCATAAGGAATTAGGATACGCAGAAGTGTGACAGGGCTCTTACATCATGTAACAACTACCGTATATTACCGTATATAAGCCGACCCCAAACTTGACCCTTAAAATCAGTGTCAAAATGGTATGTTTCGTACATAAACCCGATCCCCTCGCGATGGGGTCCTAATCACAGCAAACACAGACCACAGACAACTGGCAATTACCAATAATTATAACTTTGGTCCACATTATTCAAAGAATTCACAATCATATTGCATCTACTCACACATCGAAAATGAAGTGTAGTTGACAGAAAATGGATATTATATTTTGTTTCGCTAACTATCACACTTATTGTAGCTGGACGAGCACATGTCAACAAACTGGCTTGCTTATTTTACCCCATTCAACAATCACGAACTGATTACCGCCTCGTTTTCCATGGACTGCTAGTTTACAGTAACATCGGATAAAAATGTGCGAATTTAAATGTCTTGCTTAATTGCTTTTAAAATTACACAATGCTAGGATATATTTCTTTGGGTTAAATAATAGTATTCTGTATTATATTTTACTGATGACTGCGTCAGAATTCGTCCCGTTATATTATCTGTGCATGTTTGAACTTGATCGCCGGGAAACATGTGCACAGCTGATTGCTATTTCCGGCTCAGGTACACATGGTAATCGTAATCCCTGCAAATAATACAATGCCCAGCAAAAACAACTTAGAACTTAAAAGGTAAATAATCTTGTCTAGTGATGTTTAATTGCAAATTTGACGTCTCTACTGACAAAGTCGTCTTCTGTTGTTTGTTCACGCTTGAAGTGATACGATGTTGTTTTCTTACTCCTGGAAAAAAAAGTTTGTGGCGTAACCCATGGATAAGATGACCCCCTTCTACAGACTGCTTTTTTTGGTCCTCAAAATTCGGCTTATAGACGGTCTTATACGGTATAAACAACCTTGACCAGCTATCAAGTGCTTGGTTTCATTCAAGAGAGACAACTCCGTTAATCCTTTTTCATTAGTTTGCTAGCAGACGATATTTTCAGTGATCCTCAGTATGGATGATTTAGAGAAGAGGAACTTGATTTTAGAGTATTATAACAAGCACATCAGATCAGCTTAAGTGATTTCAAGTAGAACAGGCATCCCTTTGTCTACTGTTTATCGTGTTTTGAAAAAAATATTGCAAATGGATATGGCACTGAGCACCAGGGAGGCGCAGGTAGGCCCAGAAAATTGACTGTCGGTGACAGGAGGTGGCTTGCGATTCTTTTTTCTAAAAACAAACAAAGGAGTTTAGAAAACTTAAGGCTGGATATGATTGATAGAGGAACTGTGGCTGTCTGTAAGGAGACAATTAGAACTGAGCTGCATGCAATGGGTTGGCAGAAAAGTCGAGGAATTCCATCACCGATCATCAAACTTGAACAAAAGGAGCGAAGGTTGAACTGGTGCTTACAGCATAGACATTTTAACTGGGACAATGTGATTTTCTCAGATGAAAGTTCTGTGTGGCTGTTTCCTAATACACTGAAATTCTGGACCAAACAAACTGAAAACCTTTGTATTAGCCCAAAGTACAGTCCGAAATTTAACATGTGGGGTGGCATATCTGTGTTAGGGGCAACGCCCCTCTGTGTATTTGAAGGGAATATGAACAGTGAGCGGTACACAGATATTCTCGAGGGACATTTACTTCCATCTGCTCACATGTTCTATGGAAATTTTTGGATTTTCCAGCAGGACAACGACCAAAAACATCATTCAAAGCATTCACAGGCCTAATTTCGGACCCAAAATATGACATTATTAGATTGGCCAAGCTATAGCCCTGACCTAAATCCAATAGAAAATGTTTGGGGACTTATGAAGGAAAGCGTCAATAAGAAAAATCTGACAAATATTGCTGAAATGAAAGAAGAGGTGGTCCGACATTGGGACAGCATGGACCACTTCCACTTTCTAACTTCTTTGATCAGTAGTATGCCCCGCTGCATTGAAGTCTGCATTGCTGCCCATGGTGACTTGACAAAATACTAACTGTTCACCTGTCTCTGAATCTGGAGTTATGTTCTGCTTATATTCACATTTAATACGTGAGTAATGAGTGAAAAAAAATAAAAAATTACAATCTTTAAATTCTCAATAATTTCTGGTTGTACTGTAATTGAACTTCTTGTGAAGGTTAGTACCCCATGTGTCACTGAATGCAGCCCTCATCAAAAGGTAAATAAATACCAACACGCATCACACAATAACATTAACAAGGATATCAACTGCTGGGAGTACACAGCTGTAACACCAGCTATTATTCAGGTAATATCATAACCATGCATATGTCACATCTAGTGCAATACGGCCCTTACATATACACAAACAATGGGCACTTTATACAATTTAATCACCAGTCAACCAACCATTTATGTGCATACGTAATTATAATTGAACATATTATTTGAAAATTCATTCTGAAATGTGAATATGTGTTTGTCTGTCCAGCCAATGTCCTCCCTTATAAACACTACGTCTAGCCCTTCCATTACTGACTTTATAGAGTACCTTGTAAGGAGGATGAGGTCTGAGGCAGAAGGTGTAGAGTATTATAACAAGCACATCAGATCAGCTTTAAGTGATTTCAAGTAGAACAGGCATCCCTTTGTCTACTGTTTATCGTGTTTTTGAAAAAATATTGCAAATGGATATGGCACTGAGCACCAGGGAGGCAGGTAGGCCCAGAAAATTGACTGTCGGTGACAGGAGGTGGCTTGCTATTCTTTTTCTAAAACAAACAAAGGAGTTTAGAAAACTTAAGGCTGGATATGATTGATAGAGGAACTGTGGCTGTCTGTAAGGAGACAATTAGAACTGAGCTGCATGCAATGGGTTGGCAGAAAAGTCGAGGAATTCCATCACCCGATCATCAAACTTGAACAAAAGGAGCGAAGGTTGAACTGGTGCTTACAGCATAGACATTTTAACTGGGACAATGTGATTTTCTCAGATGAAAGTTCTGTGTGGCTGTTTCCTAATACACTGAAATTCTGGACCAAACAAACTGAAAACCTTTGTATTAAGCCCAAAGTACAGTCCGAAATTTAACATGTGGGGGTGGCATATCTGTGTTAGGGGCAAGCAGCTCTCTGTATTTGAAGGAATATGAACAGTGAAGCGGTACACAGATATTCTCGAGGACATTTACTTCCATCTGCTCACATGTTCTATGGAAATTTTTGGATTTTCCAGCAGGACAACGACCAAAAACATCATTCAAAGCATTCACAGGCCTAATTTCGGACCCAAAATATGACATTATTAGATTGGCCAAGCTATAGCCCTGACCTAAATCCAATAGAAAATGTTTGGGGACTTATGAAGGAAAGCGTCAATAAGAAAAATCTGACAAATATTGCTTTAATGAAAGAAGAGGTGGTCCGATATTGGGACAGCATGGACCACGACTTTCTAACTTCTTTGATCAGTAGTATGCCCCGCCGCATTGAAGTCTGCATTGCTGCCCATGGTGACTTGACAAAATACTAACTGTTCACCTGTCTCTGAATCTGGAGTTATGTTCTGCTTATATTCACATTTAATACGTGAGTAATGAGTGAAAAAAAATAAAAAATTACAATCTTTAAATTCTCAATAATTTCTGGTTGTACTGTAATTGAACTTCTTGTGAAGGTTAGTACCCCATGTGTCACTGAATGCAGCCCTCATCAAAAGGTAAATAAATACCAACACGCCATCACAATAACATTAACAAGGATATCAACTGCTGGGAGTACACAGCTGTAACACCAGCTATTATTCAGGTAATATCATAACCATGCATATGTCACATCTAGTGCAATACGGCCCTTACATATACACAACAATGGGCACTTTATACAATTTAATCACCAGTCAACCAACCATTTATGTGCATACGTAATTATAATTGAACATATTATTTGAAAATTCATTCTGAAATGTGAATATGTGTTTGTCTGTCCAGCCAATGTCCTCCCTTATAAACACTACGTCTAGCCCTTCCATTACTGACTTTATAGAGTACCTTGTAAGGAGGATGAGGTCTGAGGCAGAAGGTGTAAGTGTGTCTACTTATACATATATACGGAAGAGTATCTGTAAAGGTGAAGGAGGTGGTAGGTTTCTAGGAAAGTAATGAAACAGTATCTGCTAGGGACATATACAGATACATATGCAAACAAATAGGTCAGATAGGTTCTACTTTTAGTGTTTACCAACATAGCATGCCCTTGTTAATCACTGATGGAGTCAGAAATAAACACTTGGGATATGGACAAACTACTGAGATTGTTATCAGAGACACTGAAAGTACCAGGCAGAGCTACAGATAACTTTTTGGGTCATTGAGTTATGTCCTCGCTTGTGTTCATCTCAATTGGGTATCCTAATTTTCCTTTGAGTAACCAAATAAATTGTACTCACCT